GTTTCACACGCCAATGAATATGAAGAGGAATAAATCACTGTCTTCACAGGGGTATGTGGCCTTGAACATCAGGAAGAGGTGGGGTTGTTATTACACGGCAAGAGCAGGGGGTGGGGAGAGATGTGTCTGGCACACAGGCAATCTTCTTGGCTGTCTGTGGGTGGGTACTCCTTGCACAGCTCTGCAGGGAAATGAACAAAGACCGTGGCCACAGCCTGAGAAGGGCATGGGGACCAAGGGCTCAGGGATCCCTCAAGGATGAGGGAATGGATTCATCGGGTAAGCCACAGAGACCAAGAGAGGCGCTAGCTGAGGGGGAGGGGAATCTAGATTGTATGGTAGAAGAAGGAAACGGAAGAAGCAGATCATTTATTTCTACAGCAGTGGAGGCTACTAACCCGTTCTCTTTCAAGCTTCCCCCACCCCACCCCGGCAGAAAATCTGACCAATCACAATCCTGGAGATGCTGTGCCCAGATGGGGCGATTAACTTAATCTAAGAAGTGAATCTGAGCAGTATAAGGAGTGGACTCTGTGCTCCCCTCAGATCTTCCCCCACTCCCATTTGCTCCCCCCCACCCTGCCATGCGGCTCACCTTCATGCCTTCCTATCTAGTTCCCAACTTCCCGGGAGATTTGCTGTTGAAGGCTCACGGTGCTCACTGGGAGTCCCTCACTGGGAACTGCCTTCTTCAGCAGGGGTCTGCCTTCCCCAAGAAAAGGCCTCCCTCCTGGGGGCAGCCCATGCCTAAGGATTGACTGATGTAAGAATACAAAAGCTTGGACACCACCCCCCCATGAAGGTCTCTCTGAAGGGTCATCTTAGCTCTCTAGCTCCCCCCAAGTGTTGGCTGAGGCTTCTGTTGTGGCAGCATCATAGCTCAACCTTTCCCTCCACTAAATCCTGCTTCCCTCACTCCTCCCCCGCAACAGGTGTTGTTCCCAAGAGCTCTCCCCAGTAAATCTGCACACAAACCTCAGAGTCTCAGGGCCTGCTTCCAGGGAAGTCTAAGAAAAGAAGCCACAAGAAGAGATATAGTTTATATAACCCACTGTATACATAGATACATAATAACCTACCCTATATATGTAATATATGTTATATGACACCTCTACTGTTACACAGCAAATATAATATAGTGTGCCTTATGTAATATATCATATATTACATATTACATACTAATCATGTATGTACCTAGAAGGTACATAAACATATCTATAGAACTGGAATGAGGGACGCCTGGGTGGCTCAGTTGGTTAAGCAGCTGCCTTCGGCTCAGGTCATGATCCCAGTGTCCTGGGATCGAATCCCACATCGGGCTCCTTGCTCATCAGGGAGCCTGCTTCTCCCTCTGCCTCTGCCTGCCATTCTGTCTGCCTGTGCTTGCTCTCTCTCCCTCTCTCTGACAAATAAATAAATAAAATCTTTAAAAAAAAAAAAGAACTGGAATGAAACTTTCAGTAAATGATTACCTTTACTATGTGCAACGGAGTCTGATATTTTCTATTCTATTTTCTTCCATTTCACAAAGAAAAACACACATATGTATATATATATGTATTATGTACTATAAACCTATTATATAGCAAATGTATGATAGAGCATATGCCACATGTAATATATGGCATACATTACTGATTATATTTCCTGGAGTAACAGTTCCACTAAATGGTAATAATCCCACTTACTATGTGTCATATATTTCTTGTCAGATTCTATTTTCATTTATACTACTGCATGAAGAAAACGAAATCCTGGTTACAAGCCAGTAGGTGACCTGCAGTTTGAACCAAACACTTGGCTACATTATCTCTAAAAGGGGGAGATGATTCTCAACTCAGAGTTTGCAAGTGTGCACCACAGAGGATCTGAGACCCAGGAAAGGGTGAGAGTGGTGAGATTTGGTGAAAAAGGTGTCAGACTCTATCCAGGAGTACAATCCATTACGGAGTCTGCACAACTCCTCCTCTATTCCAGGCTGAAATCCCCAAAGCCTGGATGGGTAACTGCAGTATCTGTAGGCAGGTGATGCAGAGGTCTCTGTTCCCCACGCTGAGCCTGCTGTGAGTATACAAGTCCTCTCCCTTTGTCCATCGCACCCCAACTATAGTAGACACTAAGTAAACACTTGCTAGATTGACCAGAAGAAAAGACTAGAGCAGCTGGATAAAGGGGGGGTTTCTGAGATGCAGTAAGAGAAGGGAAGAATCTTTCACTGAATTTAACAGGTGCTCAATAAATGCTTGCCGGACAACTTCGAAAACAATGGAAAACATTGTAGTTGTAATTATGGAAAGGGGGAGGGTCTTGTCAGTATTCCGTAGATAATTAATAAATGTTTGCTGGACTAAAGGAAAATGCAGCAAAGGAACTTCCTGGAGTGTGGGAGTGGGGAAGGGAAGTCTAAAGGAGAGTGGCTACCGGTATACAGCTGGGGCCCCATTAACGTTTGTTGACTTCAATGGAGCAAATTTAGCCAAGAAGATGGCTCCTGTGTGAGGGGATGTTGGTGAAGGAATTACAGCAAGTGTTCAAGAACTGCTTTATGGATTGATGGAGAAAAGGAGGTGGTTGTTTGAAAAGAATACAGTCAGAGATTAACAAATGCTTTTTGGATTAATTGGTGGGGGGAAGCAGTTGGGAAGATGGCTACGAAGGGAGGGAGGGGACCTAGCCAGAATACGGTAGGTGCACATTGTGAACTTTCCAGATTGCATAGAGTCAAAGGTCAGATGAGGATTGTCAAAGGGGGAATTAGAGCTTCAAGAGGGGGAGGGAAAGAGGCACTGAATATGGGGACCTTAGTATATAGTAAGTGTTTATTAAACAATTGTGGGGTTGAATGGAGAAAAGGGTATAGAGAATCCAGCCGGTGGTTGGGGTTAAAAGGAAGGGGAACTGAGGAGGGATCTTCCTAGTACGTAGTAATGCTAAATGGATGCTTCTCACACTCTGACACATGGAAACTATGCAGTAAATACCTATAGAGTGAATAAACAGCTCTGAATAGAGAGAAAGGCTGCTAGGTAAAGGCAGCGGGGGAGGAGCGATCTAAACAGTAAAAAGCTGGTACTCAATAAATTTAGGTTGAAGTAGACTCCTGGAGAGAGAGATCTTGAGAAAGGATAGTAACTTTCAGACTTGGAAAAGAAGGTGTTGAGAATGGCGCTTATATAGTAGGAACTCAAGTAAGTGTTTACTGGCTTAAGTGGAAGAAAGACCTTTTGGGGTACAGACTTAAGATTGGGAGAGGGAATCCTAGGGACATTGAGGGGGGTGGAAAAAGGGTAATCCTTATAAACTGGGCTCTAGATTAATCAAAAAAGAAAAAGGACCCTAGGGAGAGGCTTTATGACTGGCACAGTTTCTTCTAGGGGTAAGGAAGAGATGTCTACTCCCTGCACACAGCAGGCACTGCATATGTGCTTACCGGATCCACTGGGAAGGAGGTGTGAACATAGAGCACACAGACAGCACTCCATAAATGCTCACAGGAGCCATGGGAAGAAAAGGTCTCTGGGGGAAGGTGATTAGAATCAAGCACCTGGCAGACAGTACAAAAATAGATGCTCACTGGATCCATTAAAAGAAAAGGTCTTTGCTGGAGGGTGGGCTAGGGGTAGGCATACAATCACTGGATCCACTGGAGGAAAAGTCTTCAGGGAAGGGGAATGGGGCTGCAGAAGCCTGATCTATGTAAGCTTGATTCTCCATCCATGAAAGGAAAGGCTCTTGTGGTGAGGGCATAGAATCAGGCACATGGTGGTCCTCCTCAAACGCTCCAAGGGGTGAGTAAAAAGAAAAGGCCTCTGGAAAGAGGACTGAAATGGTGCACACACCAAGTATTAGATATTTGATCACTGTATTAACTGGAGACAAGTCTTTATGGAGAAGGTCTAAGGTTGGGTCATGCAGAAGGTGTTCAACACATGCAGACTGATGTCACTGGGGAAAGGGTTTGGGGATGGGGTAAACAGCAGGCACTCAATAAATGCTTGCTGAATACACTGGAGGAAAGAAGCTTTCGAGTAGGCTCACGCAGCAGGCAGGGAATAAATTCTAGGTGGGTTCACCAAAGGAAAGGTCTTTGGAGTAGCCTGAGAATGGAGAATAAACAAGGCCCTCAATAAATGCTTTCTAGATCCATTGGAGGAAAAGGATTTTGGGGAGAGTCTGGAGATGAGTCACACACAGAGGCTCAAAAATGCTCATGGGACTCATTTGAGCAAAATACGTTTGAGAAAGGGGTTTGGAGATAGGGCATACACCAGGCACTTAGTAAATGTTTTCTAGGTGCTTTGGAGAAATAAGCTCTTGGAGAGGGTACTTAGAGTTGGAACACACAGAAGGCATTCAATAAAGGCTCACAGGATCCATTAAAGGCAACACTTTCGGGGAGAAGAGGGGATGGGATACACAGCAGGCAATCCACGTTCACTGAATAGCTTGAAAGGTCTTTGGGGGGAGGGTTGGGATGGGGCACATACCACACTCTGGATACATGCTCACAAGATCTGTTAGAGAGAAGGCCTTAGGGCAAGACTTGAGGGGGACAAGACACATAGCAAACTCTCAATGAATGTTCACAAAATTCAGGGAAGCCAAAGGCTTTGGGGAAGGATTCCCAGAGAAGGCACACTGCAGGTACTTGATAAATGCTAACAAGATCCATTAAAGGACAAGGCCTTTGGGGTGAGGGTTGGGGGGGTGGGCGGCAAGGCACATTAGGCTCCGGAACGCTCACAGGATATCCTAAAGCCAAGTCTTTCGGGAAGGAGTTACACAGCAGGCGCCGGATAACTGCTCCCTGTATGGATCGAGAAGGCCAGGTGGGGGGCAAGGGCGGGACACAGAGGATGCACACGGTATAAGAATTTAAAGGAAAAGGGTTTAGGCTAGGGGGCCAGGTGCCTGGCACACAAGCCATGCTTGGTAAGTGTTCGTCGTGGAACGATCTGGGGACCCAGGCCCGCGGGAAGACGTCCGCGGCAGTGGCTTACCAGTCGGTGTGGGGCTCGTCGATGACCAGCAGCACCCTGGCGGCAGCGCCCCCACGACCTGCGCCCCCAGAGCCGCCGCCCACCTGCTCGCTGAAGGTGGCCGCCGCAGCCGCCGTGGTCTGCTTGACCGCGTTGGACAGAGACGAGAAGAAGCCACCACCCCCCGAAGACCCAGGACTAGGGGCAGCCGGAGAGGCCACAGGGGCAGACGCGGAGGCCCTCTCGGCAGTGGCAGTCGCGGGACCGGGCGTGGCTCCGGGGCTGGGGGCAGCCGGTGGCGGCGGGGGTGGCTGCGGGCGCTGCAGGTCTGTCATGTACCCATTTGGCAGATTGGCCATGAAGTTGCTGTCCGACAGGCGGCGCCGCAGGTAGTTCATGGCTGCGGCGCGGGGCAGGGGGTCCTAGGAGCAGTCTGATCAGGAGCCGCGGGGGCGGACCGCGCGGGGCCCAGGAGCTCTGCTGCGCTCTCAGGCACGACGCGACTCTTCGGTTGCCCGCTGCAGACTGAGGTAGCGCTGAGTCGCCGCCGCCGCAGCGCGGTTGGTCGCGCCCGTACCCCCCTATCTCGCTCCCCTCGTGGTGCTGTCCAGCTGGGCCGGCGGCGGCGCGGACGCGACCAAGGCGACCGGGAAGGGGAGTTTGGGGAGGAACGGCGAGTGACGTCAGCGCGCCTTCAGTGCTGGGGAGGCGGTGGCACGCGCCGGCAGGCGGGGGCGAAGGAGCTGTCCGCGGTGCTGAAGGCGGCAGTGCGCACGCGCCACGCCGCATCCTGTTTCCCCTCCCCCTCGTCCGATTGGGGATGCGCAATTTGGGGGGTGGGGGCGGGGTAGATATTTCTCGGGAGGGTCGGGGTGAGTGGTCAGGCAAGACCCCCCACGCCGCCTCATTCTGGTCTTCACACCCAGACGCACCCACACGCAGGATTCTCTGCAGATACTCAAGTTTCTAGTGTTGATATTCACCACAGAAGTCATGTGAGGTGTGGGGGGAATAGAGGCACACGCAGAGACTCAAAAGTAGAAAAATAACCTCCTCACCGCGACAGATGGGGGTCACAAGCAGTACCCTGTAAGGGGAGATCAATTTCCCATATCCTACGGGCTCAGCTAGGCAGAGAGAGGGTGCGGGGGTGGCATAGACAGCATCAGACAGGCAGACTTGGACACCTGGGCGGGGTACACAGCCTTGCCCTGGGTTGCTGGGGCTTGGAGGCACAGAGGAATGACACACACGTGGAGATACATATAGACACAAACAAAAGTAAAGAAACACACAGAGGCACGTATAGACAGAGATCACACTGATCTAGGTATCTATACACATGCCCAGGGTAACACACGTGGGCATGCATGCATGCACGCATATGCCTACACATACACACACTCACATACACACACACACACACACACACACACACACACACCACACCTACACACAGAGACCCAAGGAAACTCACACGAACATGCACACCCAGACAAATCACATACCCACAGATGATCACGATAAACCTAGATCTGCCACAAAGACACATTCCCTGAAGCTCCAGACCTGATGTGTGTCCATCTCTGTCCCTCCAACCCAGGCCCTACACACACACAGACTCATTCTGTAGGCCCCCATTGCTCTGCCCTGGAAAAGCCAAAACCCACCATAACCATCTGGTATCATCAGTGCCCATGGCTGTCTCCCCCGCACCAGAGAACTTTCCACAGATAGAGGCAGACCCATCCTAGGGTATGCACACAGTAGGTGCCAAATGATGTTTGCCACATGAGCAAATGACCTTGATAGTCCAGGCAGTGGGGGCTGTGGAAGCCACCCTGTCAGCTCCTTTAAGATCCTGACTACAATGAAAGTGTGAATCTATTTAAAAACAATCATTTGTTGACAGCACCCAACTAAGCTGTTTACATGTATTATTTCATCCAACCCTCACAACAATACAATGGGGTGGGAAACGTTCCCATTTTACAAATGAAGGAATCCAGGAGCTCCAATTCATGTTCACTTTGTGATCCATGCATTTTTTTAAAAAAAGAATGTGCTAGAAAGTGGTGTCAGTATGGCTGAAACAACGTGAGTGTGTGTGTATGTTGGGGGTGTTGTGGCAGGAGATGGGGTCAGAGAGGTTAGTAGGGACCACACTGAGCAGGTCCTTGTGGGCCATAGTGAGTGATGTTGGTGGAACAAGTGAGGTAAAAGAAGGTACGGTAAGAAAAAGGCAGATTTGGAGTCTCTCTGACTGCAGGATTTTCAGGTGAATCATCCATTTATTCATTTGTTCATTCTTTATGCATTAAGTCCTTGGCCTGTTTAAACAAGGTAGTAAAGGTGTGGAGTCTAGAGTCAGAGTGCTTAAAGTTCAAACTAGGTTTCCACCATACCCCTGGGAAAGTGACTTATCCCCACTGAGACTTGGTTTCCTCATCTGTTAAGATGATCGCTTGACCCATCTCTAAGGGTGTGGGAGGGGTGGGGTAGGAGACAACCTCTATATTTTTGCATGTGCTGTGACTTCTGCCAGTAATGTCCTTTACCTCTCTCTCAAGGATCATCTTTGGCCAGGATCCCCAGGACTCAGATTCCATCCCCTCTTCCCCTAGCCTCTCCAGTCCTCAAGTCCAATACTTACAAACCATTCTCTACTCCCTCCTCCATGCCAGGCAGCTTCAGTCCTACCTCCAAGGCCTTTGCTTTGGCCATTCTTTCCCTCTCTTTCGTGGATGCTGTCTCAGGCGTTCCGCATCCCAGTGTTGCCCAGATGGGGAACTCCCATGAATCACATATTTTCCAACATTTAGAAGTATGTGCTTAGTTTTTTGCTCAGTAACTGAAGTAAACAAGCTGTGCTGGACCCATGGTGCCCTCTCTGGGGGACAGGAGCATCTGCAAGTCTTATAGACCTATCTTGCTCCCCTTAGGAATCTGTCTCCAGAATGCCTCCTCTCAGGGCTCCTATTCCCACGTTTCTAGGACTCATGGCCCCCAGCATTGTTCCCTTTCTCCAGGTGGCTCGGTTTCCAGAAATTAATGTTTTGGAGATTGTTTTGCAGAAGAATGAGGATTTCCCCTTAGGAGTGTCTCAGCTCTCTGATGCAGAGGTAGGGCTTCTCTGCACTGTCTCCATCTTCTCTAGCAGGAATGAACAAATAGAAGGGGCTCCAGGAATGATTTTCTTTGCGTGCATTGGTGAACCATGACTCTCAAACACACACCCTTGACATATGTTTGTAATCAGTATTGTACCCACGTTTATAACTCACACACATATATGTCCATGACACCTCAACGCACATGTACATGTGGGCACGTGCACACACACACACACACACACACACACCTATAACTCAGATTGTTATGGCACACATATGGGTGTAACTTTACACGCACTCCACATACACTCAATGCATCCTTAATTCTTGCACAGACCTATTGGTCTGCATATCACACATACACAAAGATATGTTTCATGATGCCCAAAGTTCCACTGTCTTATAGACACGTTTCTCTCTCATACCTCTCATACCCTCTAGTAGGCAACCAGAGTCACTCCCTTTCAGCTCGTTCTTCCCAAGATGACCCAAAAGTCCACTTTGTCTTTACTTCAACCCATCAACTGACCTATTTTATGGGGGGAATCGACCCAGAGAAGTGAGCACCCTGACAGAATCCAGGTGTCACTCATCTCCCAACTGAACCCTTCCACAGAGGGGTCCCTCCTCTCACACCACACGTCATGCTTCAAATGTCCAGCCTGCTACCGTTCTGTGCCTCGGTTTACTCTTCTATAAATGGGAATAATGATAATAGTGACCCTCATAGGCTTGTTGTGGAGTAAATGAATTCATGCTGTGCGACCTAAAACACTACCAGGCACACAGTAAGTACTCTCTAAGTATTAGCTAATACCATAACTATGATGATTCTTGTGATTTGTCTCATCATGAGGGGCTAAGCGTTCAGTAAATGCTAATTAGTGCAGCACTGAATGAGCAAATGCTAACAGCATTAGTGTCTGGGTTTGTTCCCCTCACTGTGGAGACACGTGCTGTTCTGACTCCTCTATTCTCCATGAGGTCCAGCGCTATTGTTAGTATACAGTAGGCGTTGATAAGTGTTGAAAAAAAAATGTTCAACGAAAGGTTCGCATATTTTGAGTTTGTTCCCTCGCTCACATGTCCTCTCCTTCTACCAGTCCTCCTCCACCCCAGATGCCCAGACTTTGTCCTAGTATACAGTAGACGCTATAAAGTGTTGAATGAATGCACAAATACTAAAGGAATCTGTGTCTGGGTTTGTCTCAGGGGCCCCTTCTGGCAGGTGCTGACTCTGGCTTCTCTTCGCTCCCGCCCCAGCTCAGAGCACCTCACAGGCACTTCCTCGGTCCACCCCCGGCCGACCGCCACCCACATTTCGGTCTCCGCTAATTGCGGCATTGGATCTGGGCTGTTGGGAGTGGGTGGGTGCAGGTGTTCACGTGGCTGGGTGCCAACCCCAGCCACGCCTCTGCTGCCTCTTCTCCGTGCCTGATTGATGCGGAACCCGCCAGCCAAGGGGCTCCGGCGGGTGGGAACCTAGGCATGCCGGCCAATCAGAAAGTGCCCACCAGGGCGAGTAGCCAACCAGAAAACCTGTGACCCGGAGTTCTGCAGAGGGACGTGCTGGGCGCCCCGCAGCGACGCTGCGCAAGGGGTGGGGGTGGGGGAGGCAGACCCTGGAGCTAAGGCAGCGGCACAGGGTCTGATACTCCACTTCACTTCTGCCAAACTATGACCACAGTGGAAAATACTGTTTTCCACAGCAAGCCACTGTGACCCTGCTTGTGCTGTACCCTTTGGCCTAGAAGATGCTATTGCCCCACTCCTGGGGAAGTGGCCCATTTATTGAGGTCTGGGAGGGCAGGGTGTCAGAGTGGGAGAGGGAGGTGTTAGAGCTTCTTATCCGCAGGGTCTTGGCAGGCAGGCACGTGTAGACATGGCCGTTCCTCCTTCACCACCAACCTCTGCCCCTGCAGAGGTTCGCACCGCGGAAATGGTGTCCCCCAGAAGGTCACGTTCTTCTCACCCTGACCTTCGACCACGGTAATGGTGGGCCTGGGGCATTAGAGGGGGAATGGAAGGGAGAAACTCAGGGAAGGCAAGAATGCATTCGACAAACTCTTATTGAGTGCCTACTGTGTCCAACACTATTTGTTAGCTATGAGATACTGGGCAATTTCTTTTCTTCCCTGTACTCATCCGAAAAATGGGAATAATTGGAAGAATAATAAGACCCAACTTACTGGGCTAAGTGAGGTTAAGCGAGTTCATTTTGGTCAAGTGCTCAGGGTGGTGTCTGGTACACAGTAAGTACTCAATAAATGCTAGTAATTGTTATT